ATATATATATATAAGATACAGGGAGCATAACTGCATTAAGCAACATTTATTAATATATAGGACATAATGCAGGACACTTAACGTATAAGAAGAGGCCGTCTGCGACGTCAGCTTTCATCACATTCGCTGTTTGGGAAGAATCACTAGAATGACCTGTTTAGTTGAAGGGTTAGGATGTGCTCAATGGGATGTGTGATGAGGTGCGCAATGATGTGCGTCCGCATGAAACGTGTGCATGATACGCTTCCTACATGATACATAATACATAAAAAATAAATTTGCAAATTAGATATTAAACATTCCTAGTGCATTATTGCCAGCTTTGCTGCAGCTGATCTAAAAATGTTACAAACCACGAGAAATATAAATCTACTTACTTCTAAAGGTTTATCAATTTTTAGTTATCACTGTTCTAGCAACAAAGAGATGCCTCTTCAAAAAGAATATACTGACTGAGGTCACAGTTGCTAATGCGTCACTTGACTAAAACTTGCAACCAAAATTTGCTGTTCCGCAAAGGATTGATTGATCGTTACAAATAATTTATTTTTACATAGCATATTTCTTCATTTGTATTTTATTTCTTAAAATACGTTACACATATATTTTGTTGTCTCTGTCTAATGGACATTTTTTGTGTGCCTTTTCCAGCAAGAACTTGGTTCCCAAAATCTGTTGGATTGCCTACTTCCTTCTTTGCATGACAGTCAGTGCTTCTCGCGTGTTCATTGCAGCTCACTTTCCTCATCAGTGTTTCATTGGAATGGCTGTTGGTAAGTAACATGTAATTAATACCTAACGTGTAACTTATGTTTGCAGATTCTATAACTTGTTTTAAAGAAGTGTCAGCGGTATCATATATTCGATTCCATTTAATTATTGAGTGAACAAGTTTCCTATTCACGATCAATTTATTCTTTGATTCTACATAGATTGATTGAAAATAATATAAACTAAGGAAATTCAGGATAAACTTTTGTAATACTGGTTAATAGAACCAAAATACACAATACTTGGACCATCCATTTGATAATTTTCCTTCTAATTAAAAATTCTTATTTTTAAAATTATAGTTCTTATAGCCACATATATAGTAAGAAATACAAAACTTTGTAAATTTAACCGAAAAAATGGTTTACATTCCATGCTCTAATGTATCATGATAAAATTGGCCAAATTTTACAAAATTTACCCAATTTTATCACATATTTTATTGTTAATTCTTACGAAATTATTTCCAAAGCGATTTGGTAAAAATTACTGGACTTTTTGGTGTTCCCATAAAGCCAGAAACATGATAAATTTTACCATATTCTGGTAGTTTTGACCATACTTTTTTTCCTTCTCAGAGCAGGAACAATGGTGAATAATTGTAAACTACAACTTTCTCTGTTAAGATTTCGAAACTCCATCTTCAGCAAAAATAAAATGCATTGCACACGTTCTTTTTCTTTAAATTCCAGGCCGTAACTACGTTAACATCTCTTAGAACATTTACAAGTTTAATAAATAATTTTGTATCACATATACCAATAAGATAAAACAATTACTGTTCTAACAAATAATCAACAAATGGTATCGTAAAAATTATAAAAACTATTTTAAATTCGATACTCATTATCTAATCAAAATATCTGAAGCATGCTTTTGGGAAACATAATTTCCGTATCTCACCTGTATTTATGCACAGGTTTTATCGTTCCACATATTTTCAATGACTTCTTAGCATCATTTATCAGTCGAATTTGAGGCAATAAATTTCGAAATAAAAACGCGCAACTGTCCTACTCGTCCTAATTGATAAGTAAAGCATCCTAGTAATCAGAATCAGATATTATCGATAATATATATATATATATATATAT